TGGGCTGTCCTCCTCCTCCTCCGCTCGTCGCCCCCCCGGGTGCCGCTTTTTTTGATTTTTTTGAGACTTTTTTTTGTCTGAAACCACACGTTTTTTGCTCCTGGAAGCACCACCAGCACCGCCCCGGCTCCGGAAACGGGGCCAGAACTCCGGGATTTGGGTCAGAACAAGACCTTCGCTTTTCGGTTCACTGCAGCGCTCACCACGCCCCGTTTGGGGGCAAAACCCCCCTTTTTCTTTCTTTTGTACCTTTTTCCACACATTTTCCATCAACCTCAGGTCACCGGCACTTGCCACCAGCCCCAAAATACCGGGCTTTTTTCTCAGTTTTTCCCCCAAAACCAAACTTTGACCAAAACCTTAAGTTTTTTCTTTTTTTTCCATTTCCTTTTCAAAACCACATGCAACCGTTTCGTTAAAAACCAACATTTTCACCCCCCAAAAGCCAAGAAAATTAAAAACCACCACTTTTGCCAAGAGTTCTTGGAATTCTTCAACGTTCCTGGTCCGGCCTTTTTGTTTTTGTTGTTGGTTTATCTTTTTTCTTTTTTTGCCCCCAAAAAACAACAAATCCTTTGTGTTTTAAAGACCCAAAGACGCAGCGCGATGAGGTCGCCTCCGGCCGGTCGCCGCCGCCACCACAAAGCTCCTTTTTTGGGGCTTTCTTACCCCAAAAACGCCCCCTCTGTTGCGGAGAGAAGGGGTTAAAAGAACACTTTTTTTTTTTTTTTAAATATATTATTTTTTTTGCAGAGTTATCATGTTTTTGGGTTCAAATGGCGAACTCTTGGGACTTACCACCGAATTTATTGAAGCCACCACGCTCACCACCGCTGAGGAGATAAATTGGAAGATAATGAGGTTTTTTTTATCCCCTGCCTAAAAACAATAGTGGGGGGGAGGGAGGGAGGGAAGGAAGCAGTTTTGGGGCAAAACCCAGCGTTTTTGGGAGCTGTTTCCTCCTTTTTTTTCCCCCCCTCTCCTTTTTGGGGGGAAAAGATCCAGGGGGGGGAATCTCCATCCGCCGGCGACGGTTCATCTCGGACGCAGCAGCCGGGAAGGGGAGGGGTGTTTGGGGGAAGGGATCCAAAAAATG